GAAAATGTACAGTAGAAAATATAAGTATCGATACCTACTATATCTACAGTAGGCATACTGTGCCATTATACCATAAACATAGTCATATTTTTGCAGTTTTCATTTCTGATTTTATGATTGTATGTTTACATAAATCTCTGTAAATATCAAGATTAATTAATTTAATTACTAAACTCACTACCGATCATATAAATCATAACATGTTGCTGGTATCACTGCTGATACAGTATCAAATATTGATTACCGAAATCAAATGTAAATACAGTGCGAATAACAACATAAATGAGCATGGGAACATACACACATAGCTCATAATGGTTCTCAGGTAGCAGTATGTACCCATTCATTTAAAAAATACTTTTCAATATTGATTTACAGTAGGCATATTGTACCTGTAAAATCTGATATCATTACATACAAACAAGTGATGTTGATGTTCATAACAAAATTACAGGAATGAGAGAAAAATATCATTGGGACTCTCAATTAGTCATATGTTCGGATAGAAATTGCTCATATAACACCGGTGGCGTCCAGCTTTTGATTTCGAATATTTTTTGTGTGTACAGTAGCAGAAAGTGTTTATGCACTTTTTGTTTTGCGAAATGACATTTTCAGTCAGAAAATCATGTGATGCATCTTTATTTTTCAACACCAAAGTAATTAAAGTAAAACACTAGCTCATCCTTATTGTCTAACCTGACAGTGACAGGCTGACAGACATCGAGTCTGACTCTAGATGTGAACAGAAGGAGTAAACAGCGCTAAGATTAAAAGTAAGATAATTGGCATACTACACACATCTACACGTGCATGACGTGCCGCGCTAGTATGGTACATACAGTACATGACATTAAGCAACATTACTCCTCATTGTACAAACTTGTGTAAGCGCGAAAGCGATCTACAAGAGAGGCAGAATGGGGGGAGTGGCGAAATATGCGGAAAGAAGCCTGACTCGTACTTAAGCCAGCTGCATGAACAACGATGTACATGTAACATTGTATGTGTGCACACGTACGTTTTTGGCCCAAAACATTTTATAACAACTTGACTTTGGCTGTTTTTAAAACGATTTTCTGGACTTTTTTCAAGCCTCTTAGTTTTTACAGAGCCTAGGCCTTGCAGAAGGCTGAGCCAGTAATTCTAGGCAAATAATTTGTGTTGCATTTTTATTGCGATGCATTTGTAGAAGTGCTTCGCAATTAGTTTAAAACGCGTCGCATTTTATGATGTGATAGTGGGTAAATTGAATGCTGTTGGCATCTACATTCTCCCGACAGATGGCCCACCATCATTGTTGCCCGACAGATGGGCAACACCGATCTCAAACCTGAGGTAAAAAATATTTAGATTATGTCACCTGTAGATGCCCGAAAACGGCTTTCTCAAGCCACAATGTTTTTTCCCAAATTTTATTGAAACTTCCTAACAGTTGGGCTGCGTGTCCCAAACAGCTGCCCCACATAATGATGCTACTCATGAAAAAAAATATTAACTATATATAGCATTGACTCCACCCTGCAGAATTTTTTTGACAATTTTACTTTGAACACCAAGACTGAGGCTAGTTTTCTATTGCCATAACATTATCGTGCGCTGTATTATATATAGAACAATGTTTGAAAAACGTATGTCAAAAAACTAGTGAGAAAATCGCCATATTATGGTGACCCGTTGACAAAAATTTGGCAAACTGGTAGGGCAGATTGTACAATGACATTTTTGGAAACTCCCGGAATATAATCAGCTTAAAAATCGGGTGAAGCTGAAAAATGTAGGCATACAGTGTCATCCCAGTTACACCTCAACTGAAAAATCATCTTGATTACTACAGGTGCAGTAAGCACTCCGATACATAGTAATTACCTGTATGCATTATTGAACTGTGTCCTAATATGCTTATCATGTATAGGATACGATGCTATGTGCAAATCAGATGGAATGAAGATAAGAAGAGCACACAATATTTGCCATTGTAATCGGATTATAAAGGCAATACTTTTGAAATACAATCGCAATCCAGACATGTTACACTTAATTCAAAAATATTCCTATTCATAATTGCATTTACCAGGATAAAGAAGAATTGCAATACGTTCGTTGATTCACAATTATAAATAGTGACATAGGCAATTACTGTATTGTAAAGGTTATGGTGTATATTCCCCTCTTTATGTCCACACATTTTGCCATACTGAGACCAGCTGAGGCATGACCCTAATAGCTATTCAATGGAGTATTGCCAGGCAAAGGCTTTTAAAGAAACCAGTTCATGCATGTAAAACCAAATTCCAGAGACACCCAGATTCAGATTTGCAAACTCAAGCAAAGCTAAGCTAAATACAGGAATTTCACTAAATTTTACTTTTTCCATTTCCTTCGCATCCAACAGCAAGTACACTCACCAATTACTGGATTGATGATGCTTTATAAACCTCTCTAGACTCTATGAGGCTTAGGGAGTGGAGTTGTCTTTAGTGGTGAGAAAAAGTACTGCTGTCAAAGGAATTGAACCTAGGATCCTGAGAAATTGAAGTCATGTATCAGATAATCACAAAAATGTAACTGATGTGTGGCATAATTGTCATCACAACAAATGTTTTTTCTGAATTTCTCAACATCAACAAGTACGCTTGTGAAACGATGCTCCACAAGTCTTGTACACAAATGTAGCTTGTGTTGAAGTCAACTTGGTGTCCCAAAAAAAAATTTATCTCTGAAATTGACATGCTATGTGTGTGCTATATCCAATATAAAAAAAAAAACAAATGTATATAAGAGCACGATTGAGATCTGCGAAAATTAAGGCAGCCCTGCGTCAATATAATAAGTGTGGTTGGGCTCATAGCGACATTTAAGTGAACAGCAGGACCATGGAGCTATGATGTTGAATAGCTTCATGGTCCAACTAAAAAGGTTGGCCAAGGCCCTCACAACATATTACTGCATGCCTAATTAACATCATGACTTTCATTCAGAAGAAAAATCATATAATATTCTGACATTAATAATCATTGTTATTATTAATATTATTTGATTATCATATTACTACCAAGCCTATAGTGGCAATTAATGGTAAAGGCAGGAAATAACCTATGACTTTCAACTTGGCTAAAATGCACTCAGGTGTGGACTAACCTATTCAATTGAGGTGAGAACATAATATATAATGTTAATATTATTATTCTCATATTATTATTATTATTATTATTATTATTATTATTATTATTATTATTAAATTTAATCATCATTTTATAATCAAACCTATATTTATTAAGGAAAATATTAAGATGAGGTGAGGCAATATAGTAGTAATATTTATCAACAATAAGTGGAAGCTTGCTGGAACAATACAGTACTGTACACCTAAATATAGATAGATCTGTACTTAAACTTAAGAATACAAATTAAACACAAAGTATGTATGTGAAGTCTATATTATCACTAAATCAACATAACTAAGAGAACAGCTAAAGCAAACATTCCTTAGAAATTACTATGGACATAAGATTATGAACACTTGAAAAGCAGATCAATGCAAATGAGGCAAAATTTTCAAGTACTGCATATGAGTACATCAGTAGAGATTGGGATTCAGTCCAATGTTCCAAACATCTCATTTCTTGCCATCATAGGTCCTTAAATTTGTACACTTTTTAATTTTTATAAAATAAAAACAAGTAAAATCCTGCCCAAGACTCAGTGTTCTTATATCTTTGCCTATTTCAGGCTCAAAATGTTCTTATTTTTACACACTTTTCAAACATAGAAAATTAATATTGTACTGCAGCATATTACTGTATTATGGAAGGTATCATAGTAACACCTACTTTAAATAAGGTACAAGATTTGTTGGTTTTTCAATTTTTTTTAAAACTGCATTTGACATTTTACCTTGCAGCCTCAAATTGTTTTTAATTTTTAAGCAATTTCAGCCTCAGTGTTCTTATAAACTGTGTTCTTATAAAAAAAAATGTAGATTCTTAAATTGATACTCTAAGAATTCATAGTTTAAAGTCTATAATAAATTAGCAAAATCTCACCTGAATTTGAAAATGAAATTTTTCAGGGTTTTTTTTTTAGGGACAATATAATTTAGGAAGAAAATAACTTAGAGAAGAAAAATGGAAATTAACCTAGTCCAACATGTATTAGGATTTCAGCTTGCATGAAAAGAATGACATAAAAACATAGTATGGGATTTTTTATAGGATTTTCCTAAATCTTGCAATTTGTTTAAAAGGATTTGTATATTTCCAATTGCTAAAATAAAAATACTATAGCATTCCTGAAGGATTTAACTGTGAATTCTACAGGATTCTTATAGGACTCCTAAAATCATGTAGGAATTTTTCTAATTAGTTACAAGGCATGAAAGGCATCATCACTTAACATTGAACTATTTGGTTCAAGTGTAATTAACATTCTATTATATGGCCAAGGTTTTAATTAATACATTTGGTGATGATACAAACAATCATATATATACAACTTTTCAATGTAAGAACTGTACTGTACTGTTAACTAGCATATTACAATATCTTATGATACAGTATTATAGTACAGTACTGCAAGTAAACCCAGAGTCCAAGGTTATTTCAGAACAACTTTAATGATTAAAATTGACAATCCTGAAAAATAGTGATAATATAAATATTGATATTATTTTTTTCAATGCAAGCATTGTACTTTAGTAAACACTTAATTGAAATCAGCATATTGACGATAGTTCACAAGCATATTACACTGTAAATCTTATGATAGGTGAACCACGAGTCCAAGGCTGATGCTGAACAACACAAGGATTAAAATAATAATCCTGAAAAATGCCGTCAGGAGATTTAAATGACGACAATTAATTAATCTGCTAATTTGGATTTGTTAGCAACAGAGATATAAATCATACAGTAGTACGACTCAAAATAAAAGGAATAAATTACAATAGACTTCAGGCATTTCCTGTTTTAAGTAATTTATTCTTTTACATTTTGGCTTACCGTGTCTATCCGTCCCTCTGGAACTAAACGACCAATAGGTTTATCTTTCACAGGCTGTAGAAAAAACAAGGAAAGCAATAGAGTTACAGATAATATATCTTCTTCAAGCTCTAATTGTCAATACTTGTACTGTGTAGAAAGCACTGTTGAAGACTAATCTGGTCTGGGTTGAATTCCACACATATATTTGAACTACCACACTAAGGCCAGCGGTGGCTCCAGAAATTTGTCGACATGAGGTCCAACATGTCAGACGGAGGGGTCCGAACCAAGGGGCAGACTAGAGCCTTGGCCTGGGTCCCCGAAAACAATCCCTCGTAGGTTCATGGGGAGAGTTTTTATGGCTTAGTATGGACAAAATTGTGCATTTAGACCACAATATTAGGGACTATCATCAATCAAAATAACAATAGGCAAATTATTATTTTTTATTTTATTTTTTGATCCAATGCCCTAATCATGACGTCAATGACCAGTTGTCCAAGATTGTCTGACATGGGGAAAAATGCCCCCCTGCCCTCACTGGCACCACCATTGACTGAGGCCTGAAGGCCTTCTAATCTCCCCAGTCCCCTTCCCCATCATCACCCAAGAACAAATCATTCTTTGAAAAAAACAAAAGAGATCATAATCTCTCTGCCACCCTCCCATGGTCATATGGAAATAGCTGATGATCACAGGTATACAATGTTAAATCTTTATAATTTCCATTGACTGGGTTGAATCACCCTACTCTAGGTTAGCGAATGCAATACCAAGTGTGAGTGAGACTTAAGTATCATGCTTGAGACACGCTTGGCTTGAGCGTTCAGAATGAAATCATGCTAATTTTCAATCATTTCATTTACGGAGTGGTTTAATGAACTGAATAGAAACACAAAAAGCTCTACAAGACTAATTAACAGGCAAACGTCATTCATTAGTACTGTCGACAGGCTCCTGGGTACTGCAGATTTCATGCAGAATTGAATCTAATCTAATATGAAATCTAACTAGTATTTATAATAATATGCCAATAAACATTCACCACACAATCGTAAAACCTCAAACTGGGCTTAATCTCGAGAAGAAGCCCATCTCGAATTGAAGCCTTCTCTTCAGTTTGCAAAATTAGCCTTGAAAACTAGCCCAAGATAGTATAGGCTTCTTTTCGAAATAGTACAGTACATAAACACAAATTTGAAATACTGTACTGTAAACAAAATAAATTAACACACTGCATGATACAAAGGCATTATTGAAATTAATGCTCTCACTTATTTAAAGAAGGAATATGAAATACAAGGTAGATTCGTGTTGATATTAACAGGATAAGTACTGTATGTTGATAATAATAATAATAATAATAATAATAATAATAATGATAATAATAATAATAATAATAACAATAATAATAATAACAATAATAATAACAATAATAACAATAACAATAATAATAATAATAATAATAATAAATGCTATTCTAAAACAGGATATGATATTAAGGCAAAATACCCATCTTCCTCCTTCTCAATTACCTAACTTGTATATCTGGCATCATTATTGTATTTTAGCACTTCATATACAGTACAACTGCACTGTGGTAGCTTTAAGCAGACCTGACCATGATGTCTGTTTAGTAGGCCAGTTCTGTTGGACACACCCATCCTTTAGAGAGCAAAAAGCACTCAAGGAGAAATTCGGAAAGAAACAAAGTCAAATTCTTACAGATGAGTAGATTTTATAAATGTAATTATATTTTTTGTGAACTTATTTGGATTTCGTACTTGGGCAGATACCTTCTGTATTCATGCTACAATGTGCAAACTCCAAAGGCTCTATTGATCCGATAGGCAAGTACAAAAGGTTGAATATTGACTACACTAGGATATGCTGAACTATAGGCCATGTTTACAATAGTCATTCATAAACAGCACGGAAATAATAGATTCCAAAAGTATCATTGAGAAAAATAATGATTGAAACACATTCTATACAGTAATCAATCCATCAGAATAAAAGACCTGAAAAATTTAGAAGATTATGAATATACAGTAGGTCTACAAATAATGAATGTTTATGTATGGGGTAGAATATTTCATGAGGTGAAAGGTTGAATAGAACATCCAATCTTTCACCAAATGAAATATTCTACCCCATTGTACGAATAAGGAAGATTCATTATTTGTTTTATAAAACACCTACAGTAGCTGTATCTCTACGATCGCCTGCATGTTTTCTTCGAATAAAAGGACCCACCTTCCTTTCAAAGGCCAGCATAAAACCGGCCTAGGGTCTAGGAGCAGCTTAGCTCAGTCGGCTAATCTGGTGGTAGCTGCTGTGCGCGCGCTGAACCGTGGAGATCTCTAGGTCCCCGGTTCAATTCCCATCGCTGCCTCTCCTTGTGTTTCAGCTAGAGGGCTGAAATACAAGTTACTAGCGCACCGTCTTTCGGATGAGACGTTTAAGCCGTTGGTCCTGTGTGCATTATGGCCCATGTGCACGTTGAAGAACGCAGTGCACTCTTCGGAAAAGAGTAGGGGATTGTCTCCCGGTGTACTGCCCAAATGACTGTCTTCAAATGAAAAAATTACATTTCAATGATCGTTGACTAGGTACTCAATTAACCATGGAATTTTCATTTTACATGAATCTCATGTAACCTGTTTTCAACCAATCAAATTAATAAAATATATACATGTATATACATGTGTTAAAATACAACAAAAGTGACTCCAAATAGAGAAAGTGAGGCCACATTTACTCAACGTTTCGACTTTATTAAGTCATCATCAGGAATACATGTGTTGTATTGGATAATACATGACCCTAACATTTATTACTATAGACTTGTTTTACAAGCATTAAAAAAAAAAAAATTCAATTCAAATTTATTTTTGTCCTGTTTAGTGTTATCATACCTGTTGTTACAAAAAAAAGAAAAAAAATATGAAATCCTAACAAATCATTTTTATTCCTATGAGCCCCATAATAAAATCCCCCAATGAGAAATCTTTCCAGTCTTATTTACTACTGTTTACAACACATTTTATATGGCCACCTTGAGAAAGAACTAAGGGCACCCTCTACTAATGTTTTTTTCTTACATACAATCTGTTTTCTTCAATAAAATATTTTTAAATAAATATAATATAACATAATATTATATAATATAATATAATATTTTTAAATATTTTTTTTTCACTTATACTTTGACACAAGCATTTTTCTAAATGAGAAAACACTTACATTTTTCTGTCACTTTTCTGATTATCCATTAAAAATTTTGGGGTCGTTCACAATATAATAAACATTTTCACAAGCATACAAACAGTACACTGGGAGAGGGGAGAGAGTGAAAAATTTGTACACACATACATATAAAATATAAAATACTTTTATGTAATAAAGTACTTTACTTTAGTTTACTACACAAAAAGAATGGAGAATGGTTTTGCAAAATCAACATTTTTTGTGTACGCGTTCAGAGGGGAGGGAGGGGGTATCGAAAAAGACTATTGTTTGTACACTTGCGAAAAGGTTGATAATTGTGAATGACCCCTTTGGTTAAAACAGGGTATCACTATGTATACTTGTCGGCGTACATCATAGTGGTATCAGTATTCCTCCAGGACCCCAATTGTTGTACCAAAAATAATAATTTGCCTATCTAAAACAAGTTATTTTAAATTGCCAATCATTTATATTGTGGTCTAAAAGCTAAATTTGGCCATACCAATCCTGTCAACCCTAATTTAACAATAAAGGTTTAAATAACAATAAAAACAAAAAACAATTCTCCTTGATTTTGTATTAAAGCCAACCTAATCAATAAGGTCATGGACACAGTAGTACAACAAGAAGACAATGCTCAAGTATAACAATACAAAGCATGGTGAGGTTACAGGAAAAAATTAATTAAAAGGCTCTATATTCCTAATTTTTACTATATTAAAACATTTTAAATACAAAAATTGTGAAACACTCCAAAGAAGATGCTTTATTTTAATATAGTGCATTGTTAATAGTGCATTTGGAAGAGGCTCAGAGGAATGCTGGTGAACGCTTCCTCAGTTTTGACTGTCTGAAATTGTGAACCTTCTCTAACAGTTACGATTAAAACACTACTGAAAGTGGTGGAGCTAGGATATACCTTTAGGGGAAGGGGTGGGGTAAAAGCTGTCTGGGTGTCATGGTTTCCGACCAAGACTTGTAGGGTTGGGGTATGTGTTGTTAGACGTGTTTGTGGTGGAATTGTTAAAATTCTGACAAATCGCAGGTGGACGGGATGTTTTCTGACCGTGAACATAATCCTTTCCACGTGCCTCCTTACATTCACCCACTCCCCTCCTCCAACTGATACCGTTCAATCTAATCAATACATAAATACAACAAAATTATGAAGAAAATCAAACATTATCCATGTGAAAACCAAAATAAAAACTCCCAAAAATATTCGTTTTTTAATGACTACCAATTAATTAGAAACCCGAGAATGGTTTGCATGGCGGTTGACCACAGGCCTACAGTACAACCACCTGTATTTACTTCTCTGCTGCAGGTCCCAAAAAAAGAAGCACAACTTAATCTTGGCCCTTGGCTACTTACTTAACAGTATGTTTTGCGCGTTTACCAATTAATTTTATGCTACATTTTGACACGGTTCCCAAACATGTTGCTTAAGGCTACCATATCATTATTCGATGGTGGTAGGCCCTCAAATCTAAATGCTACCTACCTCCAGGTAAAGTGCTGGGACATATCCGACACTGTTGTCACTTTCAGCACGGGCCGCCCACCAGCGGTCGTCTACTTTACTTGTTACTTCGAACAAGTCGCCCTTTTTGAAACTTAGAACATCATCACGTTCTTTCTCGTAGTCGAACTTCGCTTTAAAACACGCCATCAAATCTTGACGTTACAATTCACCAAACGATTCAACAATAGGTATATATCATTTCCAAGTTATGGCAAATCCGAAGGTAAAATTAGGTTCCAATCCGGAAATGCTTCACTGCGAAACCATGTAGTTAGCAACCAAAACCATACGCTCTCAATCACGTTTAGCACTCACGATCGACTGGCCTAATGTTTTGAAATTAACAGGTTAGGATCAGCCAGCTTATCACCACTGTGGTGGTGGCCGTAAGGTATGTATAGAGGGCGGGCTATAATATTAGCCCTTTAAATTTTACTAAATAGAGATGCATAAAAAAATTCATAAATGTATTATTTCATCATTTTTTATTTTATTTATTGCTTTTATATATGCTTGCTTATATAATTTTGTCTTAATGTTCATCATCATTATTGTTTTTAAAAATTTATTATGTTTATTATATTTTTTACATCATGTTTATAATTCTAATTCTGAGGTACCGTATATGCTTGTGTATAAGACGAGGCTTCAAATAGCAAATTATGGCCGAAACCAGGCCGTAGTCTTATACGCGCGACATACAAATTTTAGATTTTTAAAATCATGTTCGTCCTTGTGTCCGTAACTACTACAGCAATGAAGCTTGTAAAAATTTAGTAGGTCTATGAATGAACGAAATTTTAAATACGGAGAAGTAAGCTTTTAATGAACATTTAAAGTCTCATAAACGTACTGGTATTATTTTAAAGATTAACCATGCATTTGGCACCGTTTTTAGCCAGCTAGATGCAGTATCAAGACCATAAAAAGCAGCAAAAAAATATTAATTTAGACAGTGAAGCGGGGCGGGGGGGGAGGTCGTCTTAATATGCCTGACATACAAAAATCGTCCAAAATCTTCTCAAACTTATACGTGAGTATGGTAGGCTGAAAGTTTTCAAGCATTCAGAAATATAAATATCTTTAAAAAATGAATAGAATAAAATTTTTTTTTATCGTTAATAAACCAACCACAATGGATATTAACTTACTGCGAGATTTCGTCGATGTTATCAACATGAATTTGTCAGGCTATGTGAGCTAGATAAAGCCTCAATATTTAAAAATATGCAAAGTTGAACAGTTGAGTTTGGTCTTAAAAATAACAATGGACCTTTCTAAGGTGTCAAACCAAACAAATCAATCAGAACTGGGCCAGGAATATGGGCATGTCTCACAAACACACAATGTTGCCCCTGTTTGCATAATGTTTTTACCGTCATTTTGTGGGACCCAATACTCAAAGAGCAGGGCTTAATAGCGGAAAAGATTCATTGAGGACGATTCCATTCTTTTTAGGGAGGATTTTTTTTTTTTAAACGCAGCTGAAATTTAAATACACGTCTCCCTCCAAATAAAGATCACTTTTGGGACCGGGGTTCCATGGTCTTTAGCAGCTTTGGTCTCTAATTAGAATAATAAAGATAAACGACATTTGTTAATATGGGACCATAGAAAAGTGGCCTTTAATTGGGTGTGATCTTTAATTGGAGGGGTCTTTATTTATCTATTGATTTATTTATTAAACCATATTTCATGAGGGTAGCCCATCCAGCAAAAGCTGATCATTTGGTCATTAAATGCAATAAAATACTATGAAACAGGTAAAAAACCGCATAAAAAGATTAACCGATAGGAGACGACCTGTAAAACATTTATGAACCTGGGTTTTATAAGGTTTTCTGTGTTGATACGAAAATACACTGATAAAATAATTTCTCATGTCTTTTATTACAAACTTGTGTCTAATCCAGATATACAAATATAAAAGCAATTCCACAATATACTTTATAAATGAATACTCGTAAGGCAAGACTTATTTTTTATACCTTGTTCACTGACTGCCAATAACGGTGATTTTCAATAAAAATTTATTTTTGGCCATTTGCCCCCCCCCCACTATGAAAAAAAGGGAAATTTTTTAAAAAGATATAATTCTACATTTATTTTTATTAAGCCCTCCACTCCCCTAAAGTCTCCAAAAATAAGATCCAGTATGTATATTTCTTTCTCAATTAAATAAATTTTAAAGCATTTATCAATCTCATTACTACACTGTTTAACTCATTTATATAATTTTATTTTTACACCTTTGGTTTTGGCAAATCACTTTGCTAAAAAAGAAAACAAAATGAGGCATGTCGTGGCGAAATGGTTAAGTTGTCACACAGGCCAGTATTGAGTAAATGAGCTATAAAATATTGGAGCTCAAAAAAGTGCCTAAAAATCAAAATTTGTTTTCATTATAGATAAACTGTTTAATGTCTTATTACCATGTACCAAAGTATTAGTTCTGGAAGTGGTCAACAAATTGTTTATTTAATGTTATTTTGATAGTTCATTCTATTAAAAAATGTATGCACAAATAACCTTGAAAGGCAATTACTCAAAATCATGTTTATCTTGATTCTAAGAGTACGGTATTTTCACTTTCCAATAACTTAGGTTTGAAATGTCCAATTTAAATGAATGACCCCTCATTTTAAAGATCACATACTCAGGTATCTGAAAATACCAATAACTTGAATTTCAATTTTTGCTACAACTTAGCCATTTTGCCATAAAATGCCTTAAATTTTATTATATATTTTTTCTGCCTTCCTCTGACAGTCTTTAAAAAAACTCTGTTCGTGAAACAAGGTATACAAAAAGTCCCGCCTAATAACTTTGAATATTTTCATAAAAGATAATAGTTCTTTATAAAAAAAACATCTATTTTTTCATCTGAAGTTAATTTGATAACTTTGAACCCTTGGTTCTTTTGAGTACTGGGAGAGGCAGCATTTTGACAACAATCACAACTTCCCTATAAATAAGGGACCAGCCTAGAGAAGAGAATCTCATTTCCTTAATATAATGGTCCCTTAATAATAGAGTTTGGGTCCAATTTTTAAACAACAGAATGTATTCCATCAGGGAAGGAAATGGTGATCCTTTAGGAAACCGGTTCGAGGGTATTGATGGTCCAATTTAGAAATTTCACTGTATTATAAATTATACTAAAAGACTTTTGTAACATGAAAGTTTTTTAAAGAGTGAACAATATATATTAAAAAATATAAAAATAAACCTACAAACCACTGATCTCTGCTATAATAGCTGGATTGCTCATTGGATGGTTTTAGTGGATTCACTTTTTTCTGTACAATGACTGGCCGATGAGAAATCAAGCTATACAGTAGAGATCAGTGCTACAGACATGTAAAACATTCTTTAAGAATGAATTCAATTGGAATGAACCTCACTTGTTGACAATGTATAAACAAAAGTTCAAATGCATAACCACAATTGTTGGCTATTCATATCATGCTGTAGTACTTATCAATGGTGTATATTGGACCTAGTAACAATCATATACAATGTTAAGTCTCATAAGCACACAGCTAGGCCTGATAATAATCAGGCTAAATGCCATTGGAATAGCATTGCAGTTCCTGCTGCTACTTGGGGATTCATCACTAGCCAAATGCAAGCTTGGTGGTCTAGTGGTTAAGACACCAGGCAAGCATATCTGGAGGTCATAGGTTTGATTCCCACCTGAATCACTAACTTGTGAGATTTTTTTCACAAGCAATTTGGAATGTACTAAGCATTCAGTACGATAACATATCAGGTAGGGCAAACATCATCTTCGAATCCGCATAAACACACATTGAACATAAAATGTTCTCCCAACAATTTAAATTTACTGTACTGTATATATAACGCTTCCAACGATGATTAGAAACAGCAATAATCATAAACACAGTACAATTTCCTCCACCCCCTTGGGAATATTTCGAGTCATGCATTGATTTTAAGCGTAGACCAAATTTTTCACTGGCATTAAGGAGGTTGTAATGTACAGAATTGATGACGCCTTTTGTCTATTACTTAATGTAACAGTATTGGAAAGCCGGCATAGTTGAACTTTTTGAATTCAACAATGATGGTAATAGGATATTCTCACAGAAACGTGGCTCAGACCAACACCATATTCAAACATCCAACAACAGAAAGTTCTCAGAAAAAAACTATATACTGTAAATCAGAGTTAATACGCTAATCATATTGAATTCATCATTGGCAAAAATTTCTCTGTGAAGGGAGCATAATGTAAGCCCCTTTAACTGAACAGGAAAGATGTAGAGGGAGGCTGGCTGGCCCTGGCATGACTTTTGGAAAGTAAACAGAAATTTGAAAAAAATAAAGAAATTATTGATTGCCCAAAATGCCTCAGAGGTTATTTCCAGGCATCTAGAAAACAAAAATTAGGGCAGTGTTGTTTCTCCATCTAACAACATCATCTCTGGATCCACCCTCGTTGAGTGCTATGATACCACTAGTTTTCTTCATTAGAGTAGTTCCAAAGTTCCTTGAATATTAGCTCACTTGAGTAATTTTCATGTAAAATGTTCCGTCCCCCCCTTCCCTGGTTTCAAAATGCTGGGATTGAAGGTCTACACTGTATGTCCCCCAGACAACAAATCTGAGAGTATAATGAACCAAGTACAAAATACATTGCATCAAAATGCTATTGAAATATAAGTTTATAACATAACTAATCGTATCTAAGCCTCAAGTATTGTGAGTGCAGCCACACAATTGTTTCACAGGTATGAGCCCCTAACTTGACCCTACTTCATATTCATGAAGGTGGGCTAGTAGACAGCTGGGGCGGATGCAGATTTGGTGACGAGGGTGTATGAGAGTCCACACCACCTCAGTCCCACAATGATTGGGGATGAGGTTTGAAAATTTTTAGAATATGCACTGTCATACCTTAAAAATCTTACCGGTAATTCATATCAACAATACAACAATTATTTTTCTTAATACAATTCAAGGGTGCAAATGCACCGTCTGCACCCCCCTCCCTCCTGCATTCGCCCCAGGACAAAGAACTACAGTATCGAATAATATTATGTATTATTATTATTACGATTGTTACTATTACTTCTGTATTATATATCAGAAACTGATTAAACCAGAAGCTGAATTGAATTTTAAAATTCTTAATGACTTTAAGTACCGATAGTCAGTATTTCTAATTAGCTCTGCATCGTAACTAAATTTCCAAGTGCTTACCCTATTTACCCTGTGATAACTAACTACACTACAGAAGCCCAATACTAAGCAAAATTCTTTGAACAAGTCATAAATAGAATACAAAAATATCACTTTTCACCAATTTATTTTTCTTCCTAAAAAACCTATCTATGGGAATGTTATCATTTTGCAGTAATTATTTTTTAAATTCATTTTTTTTTTCGCTACAACAATTTCTTCATTTAAAAAGTAAAGTAAAATATGTCTGCTTGCTACAAATCCATTGATGCAATAGGTACATGAACCTAACACATTACTGAATAAACAGTCCGGCAAGCAGAAATACAGTGTTGGTATAGGAAATTAGCATAGTAAAAAACAAAAATGTATTACTTGTTAAATACAATGAGGATCATCACTGTCTTCATATCCCTGGTAAATTTCTTATACCTTTGCTATACCTGCCAGGCTGGGAAAGAGCACAACATTAAGTACACACTTAGTAAACTAATCAAGGCATTTTTAGTGCCCTATAATCACATCTCAGGGTGCATTTCAATGAGATATCAAGACTAATTAAAAAAAAATTAAAAAAGTAAAATTTGAGAATAAAACAGAACTTGAATACATAATAAAAAATAAGAAAATAATCATAACAAATAGATATATAAAACAAAAAACAATTCTTCAACAAAACAATAATGTGAAATGAATAAAAAAATAACCCATCCTGTACTCATAGTTCAAAGTGTGCATGCCTATGTCAAAGATCAGAAATAAAATAACATAGCCAAACACAGAGTATGTAATGAAGGTGTGAATAATTTCTTTTTATGTCTTGTAGCTGGATTAATTTATGCCTTGACCTTTGACATACACATACCCAAGTGAAACTACTAGATGGCTGATAATGAATGAAAACCTAATCCTTTGGAGTTATTTGTTGGTAACCTTTAACCCTTTTAGGTTTCCATTGTGCTTGTTTTGCATATGCTTTGAGGAGTTTCAACCAGTAACACTGAACATCCTCCATACGGAGATGGTCCCATATAAAATCTCGTCCCCTGCAGAGAGAAATATTAGTTTATTATTCATTACATATTATTATTGATAATTACTACAAGAATGTTACATATAACATATTGCCCCCTACAAAGAAATGATGGCATTTTAAAAGTACATGGCATTGATTATTTAATATTGACATTTCTGTGATATACTTTAATACTGTATTACGCCGCTACATCACATTGCCATGTAACACCAGAGGTTAGAATGGCAAGAGGTCAGACTCTTGGGTTTTCTTTGAAACGCAATCCTATCACAAAAAGTATTACCATGACTTAGAGGACGTTCTTCATATCAAACGCACACTGCGTGTAAAGAAATCTATTTGAATTATAAATAGGGCGCCACTATCTTGTGGTAGTACTGCATTATTTATTTCATTACATGCAGGCAAAATCAAGGAAGTCAGACCTCTTGGCATTTTATACTCTTTAGTAACACCACCTAATGAGCAACTGCCTACCAAGCATTCATTATGGATGGGTTCTTCCAGAGCTAACCTCAAGAGCTAGCCCACAGTTTTCATAGTTTGCTAACTGATGATCTCACCCAGTGGTGGCGCCAGCGTGAAACAGGGGGCAATTTGCCCTCCCGTCAGACAGGTTTGGACCCCCTGTCATCCGACGCCATGACTATTTCATCGGATCAAAAATTAAAAAAATTAATAATTTGCCTATCCAAATAACGTTATTTTGATTGTGAATCCCTAATATTGTGGTCTAAAAGCACATTTTGGACCAGAACCATACCAGGGCTTTTTTAATTCTGAGACGTAGACCGAGGCTCTAGTCGACCCCTTGATTCGGACCCCTCCGTCTAATATGTTAGGACCCCTTGTTGGCAAACCTCTGATGCCAACGCTAATCTCACTACATGTTGGTTATCCAAATTTACAAGTAACAAATAGATACAATGTTGTTCAATTATTTGAAACTGAGAATCAACAGAGGATAGCAATCACAACATTGGCTGATAAACAATACAATTGTTTTTTCATTGAGTGGGCAGGTTGAAAACTCCACATGTGCCATGATGATTAGTGTAATACTTCGGTCATTTTTTATAATTAAACATTTACATACATCAAAAAGTCAAACTAAAATCATATTACCTCTTAGTAATTTCTTTCACAACATCTTCATTAGCTTTGGCAAATTCAATAAGTTGTCTGAAATAAAGGAAAAAACACATAGGAATGAATATAGTGTATTATATTATTAGAATATTAGAATCACAGTTAAAATATATTAAATAAGACTTTGGGCTTGAACTTATTTATTGAAAAAGATATGCAGCATGTTTTTTTTTGTTACTTTTATTCCAGCACTCTCCTGAAACACAAGTAGAGAGCAATGAAACTGACCCAAGGACCAAGCAGCCGTTCGGTGGCAAAACAATTCAACTTGAAATGTTCACTTTTCGAGAGTTTGCAACTTGGCAATAAATTGTTGTACCCTTCTGAAATTTTGCAGAACTATATATCTATAGACATTAGGATTACATGTAAAATTTTAATTACAACCGTTGGTTTGTTGCAAGGCTATCAACGATTTTCATAGATACGTTGTTTTACCTTGGAAACATGTCATGTACAGTATTTTAGCTAACTGTGACCTATTTTTAAAATTTATCACGTCTGTGGCAATCATATGCATTATCTAGCCAGTGCAAATGTTGTCATTAAGAACATTGATATGAAAACTCTCATCAACCAGTTGATTTTGCTGTGCCGAACTCAGCTCAAAACAGTTTCTTTAATAGCATTCGAGGCAAAACAATGTATCTTCATCAAAGATACGTTGTTTTGCCCCATAATCTTGCATTTACGTTGTTTTACCATGAAAAATCACTAGATTTTAAGTTTTGTGCCTAAAGATAGGTGGCACTATCTCCGAAACGAATTATTGTTGAGACCTGAAATTTTCACAGGTAATTCAGAAGTGTTTAATATACTCCCAAATGATATTTTCTCAAAATCGACAAAAATATCAGTTACGTTTTGCCTCGGGATGGATGCAAAGCTCTCAATGGAGCTGCACAGTTCAACGCACACCAAGTTGCTACCACCCATTTAGCTGACTGAGTTAAGATGGTCTCAGCAAGCAACACACATATTAATATCTTTAAATAACTTACTTTACATCTGATAGATCCTGTTTAACTGGGATGTAATGAACCCAAGGCTTAATAGCCGGGTAGAAAAATTCTAGCCATTCGTTGCCGACATGAAAAACGAGAGAACCGCACAAAAACAGGTGTTTAAATCGGAAACTAGCAGCCACACCACGGAAGTTGAAAAGATACCTATAGTACACGTAAACAAACCAAGAACAACATATCAGTCTATTTGATTAAAAGGAAACATTATAAAAATAGAATATTTATATTAATGACAGTTTAAAAGAATAACTATCTGATATACAATGGGATATATTTGTATTACATATTAATAGTACTATAAATAGCTCCATGGCAATACATACATTGTATATTAATGTGTTTATATTAATATAAAAAAGATGCTAGCAAAACAGATTTTATCTGTTTGTTTGGCATTTGCATTCTTTAAATAGAATATTTTTAGACCTGTATAAATTCCGATGTTGCTTATGTAAACTACTGTACCTGTAAGAATTAATTAAAAGAGATTGTTTAAATGAGGCACTACATCAATCCAAAAATAAAAACTGTAATAAATTACAGTTAATTCTTTGTTCCTTTTGACAGAGTTAAAGCCAGGCTCTGGAAAAATTGAGATATGTTGTACAACTGATTTTTCTGAAACACAAAAAGGGTTTTTGCCGAAAAACTCGGAACAGTTAATGATACAGATTTTTGAATATTTAAAAGTTGGAGGAAAAAGGTGGAATAAAATAAAGGGGGGGGGGGGTTAACCCATCTAATAGTGATTATTTCTTAGGATAAATTATTCAAAAAAAAACTTAACATGTTTCTTTTTTAAATATGAAATAATTTGGTGTTATGTTTGGACATTCACTCACTTATATTTACAATGTTCTTCTAGTGTTACTTCTTTAGCAGGTGGTAGATGTAGTGTATCCTATTATATTGAAAAAAAAGAAAATCCATAATTTTTTTTAATTTTTTTTTTCAAGATTCAAGTTAATTTGATTGCTTGAAATAAATAAATCACATAATAAATTGTACAAGGCACAATTACAAATATCTTATGAAAAAATATAGTAAATAGACAGTACAAATATAACAATATATTGACAATAAATGTCATATAAATTAATAATTAAGTATATATAATAAATGAAATAAATGCCAGATTTTAAAAAATGGTTAGATCAGTCATTGCAACATTATTTATTATTCTTTGGCTTATCCTTAAGCAAACTATAAGTCAAGTATTTAGAAATAGAAATTAACAATCAACAATATATACTGTACTGTTTGTCTACCCATTTATTGTTTTGTCTGTCTTTCTAATCTATGTTTTTTTACTTTTAGGCTGGCCAAACAAAAAATATTTATCTTCTCGGGCATTTGCCTATTTCCTTTCCTTTAATTTAAGTTATACGGTTTTATAATTTTAAATTGTTAAGTAAAAATTATTTTTTTAAGATTTATTTATTTAGGACTACTATTGTATAACTTTTTAAAACTTTTGTATGTACCATTTATGCAAGGAAGAAAATACTAGAAAAAAGAAATTGAATAAATTAAAAAAATTAGAAAATAAATTAATTTAAATAAATAAATAAATAAAAAATATTAAAAATTAAATAAATAAATAAATGTTTATTTGAATTTGAATATATAACAAAAGTATCATGAAACCTTACAGCATCTGATTTCCAAGCTTGATTCTTTGTATAAAGAGCATCAACCAGGTCAGGTTCTTTTTGAGATAACCGCACAAGAGGGTCACGCTCTGCACTAGTTCTGTAATGGTACACAACTGAGACGTAAACATTTTAGTTTATTTATTTCCAAACAAACAGCAATATATCGCCATATAGAATTAATAACATTGCAGTATTGCAGTCATAAACTGTGTTAATATAAAAAATATTGGTAGTGGTTAATTGTAGCCATCTAATTCTAAACATTGGCAGCTGTTGACATTTAAACAATGCTATAATTATAACAATTTTATTAATGTAAACAATTGAAATAAACAAAACATTTTAATTGCTTTAATATAAAACAAGAAAATATATATATATATACAGTCTACAGATGTAAAACATATATGCATATTGTTCCATGCCATTTCATTTGAAATAATTTTAATTGCTTTATGTGATTGTATCAATAAGTATATTTTTATTTTTAATCTGTGAACAACCGGAATTTCAAACTGTATATTTTAATGTGTTTGACAATAAAGATTGAATTGAATTAATACAAACCAAGATATTAAATATACAAATCTACCGATGCAAAACATATATGCCATATTGCTTCACGCAATTTCAGAATACTCTACACGATGATAAATAATTTCAACATTTAAAAAAAATTTACATAGAAATAAAATACAGATTTTCTATATCAACAATAGCCACCATTTTCTATATCATCCATGTTTTCCATATCTCACTAATATTCATATTTTGTCCATGTTATTCCAGGGTTTCCTTCCAGCATCCACAGCACAGATTTTCCATCATTGTAAAGTAAGTTTTACTCACCAATATAAAGTTTTACATACTAATCCACAGGTCCATTGAATTTTCCTTTTTTTTTAAAAAAAAACTTATTAAAAACCTACCTAGAACCCCTGAAGAATGCCTTGGTTTCTTTCTTATCCCATGGAAGCTTCTTAGCTTCTCTGAAATATAACAAAACAATACAATTATTGTATTAAATTTTTTAAATTAACATCGACACCAGGGCAGTAACCGGGGAGGTATCTACGATGTAGCCAAACCTCAATTTCGACAAAACCACCATCTTTCCTTGCATTCTATTGTAAACTCAAAAGTATTTCAACCTTTGTTACATTTTGAGTATTTTATACCAAATAAATAAATAAATAATAAAAAAATAAAGAAACCATCGAAGTTAAAGGTAAAGTAATAAATAAATAAATAATAAAAAAATAAAGAAACCATCAAAGTTAAAGGTAAAGGGTAAAGTGATGAAATAAGCCATTTACATATGCTAGAATGCCTCATCTCTAAAGATTTCCCTTCCTGACCCCCCCCCCCCACAAAATCTCTCTTCCTGGAGCCCACCAGGGTGCACCTGTTTTTCTCAAAGAAACCACCCTTAATACAAGTTATAGTCGATGAAGCGCTAACTGTTATCGGTATTTGTTAAAATATTGCTTCAGATCCAGGAAGATCCACTGCACAGATAGATTACATGTTGTATTGCAGGGCCACAGCTGAGGTTGAAGGGGGAGGGGGGTTCAGTGGTGCGGGTTTGCTTAAACAAACAAAAATAATAATAAATTAATGGAAATATATGGCAGAGTATAAGTTATTTAATCGCTTACAACCAATTCATGGTGTAGCCATAACCACGGACGCTCCGTCCCTACTGATTCAGTGGCTGTAACATTTCTATTCAGCACCACCCCCCACCCCCAATTTTCAACATCCTGAATATGCCAATGCATTGACTATAGACTTAACCTGTGTTCAAAATATTATTCATTTTAAGCTGCCAAAAAATTCATTAAATCAAAATTAATTTAAATCAATTAAACCTATAGAAATATCAAATAGTAATTCATTAACATACTTATCTAAAGATTCCCGAAACAAATCCCATCTTCCTAGGCCGGTAGGAAATATTGGCCATACTGCTGGTCCACCTTCCCAGAAAGTCCAGGCTGGATACATGATGTCCCAATGCTGGGTCTCCACCTGAAACAAGCAAAATTACCCAGTCTTTAAATGCAGCTGCTGGAGTGTTGTATAGTGCCTGGGTGCTCATGACGCATTCATACTCTTGGTCATTGGATACTTTCTCCATGTCCATGCACTATGTATAACTTTCTTCCAATCGATAGGAAGAATTCCTTATTGTTCAGCTATCTCACACAAAACTATTAATTCTAAATCACTCACTCATGGTACCTGGGCATTCAGGTGGCAGTTGTTTTAAATTCTGGAAATTCTGTTGTAATACCTTTGATCCCTTTCCTACACTCAATGTACTCTCATGGACAAACTATTAATCATTTTAAAGGGTTGGATTTATTTGGTGAGAACACCAAGGATAACCCGCAAAATTCCAAAGACTAATTTTTCCAGAGCTGTAAAAAGTTTTTTTGCTGGACCAAGGTCTAGATTTGCTAAAATAATTGCTAGCCCTTATATATCAGATATTGAATATTGGTCTAATTTTAATTCATTTAATGCTAGCCCAGCCCTAAAATACTCAAGCACCAACTTTTTACAGCCCTGTTTTCAGTGGGGTCCTTCTGGTGGTAAACAGTCAGTACACCAGGAGACAATTGAGTAGTAATTTACCTTACTGAATGAGAGGACTGGTCTGGCTTTGGTATATTTAGGACTCTGAGGCCAATCTCTAGGGTTGAGGATGAACTCTAAATCTGGAAGCTTCTTAATTATCTTGAGGATGAAATGTTCTATTCCACTACACCTGATGAAATAATTTAAAAAAAAACATTCTTTACTAGATTATCCTGTCATAAAAATGAAGCTTCTTTTATACTCTCCTACTTGCCTTGTGTATAAGGCATTATATAATACATTTATGTGTGGTAAAATGGATAAAATATGAGAAACATGTAGTGCAGTAGTCAGGCTTCGTACAGAAGGCCTACATTTGAGTCTGATGCTGGTGTCATTGTGTGTGGTTGGACAGTGGACTTCATCTGTGTTTCTCTTCTTTAGGTGAGACATTTTTATACAAAAACTTTTTTAAAGGCCTAAAAGGGTGAATGAAATAAAATAAAAATTTACTTTTGCTTCCTTATTTTGAAAAAAAAGCAAAGGAGAAATGTCATGACAGAAATAATAGATAAAACTTTATTGAGGAAAAAACGTGAGTTTTGGAGGTTAAAAAAGTTAAGGGCTCCCTAAGGCTTTTGCTTGAGATCCTATAACGTGGTCGATCAAGAATGAGATGTGCAATAAAAGCAGTTCAGTATCCGAATTGATAATAAATTATATTTTTTTGAGAGGAAGAAATAAAGATTTCAAATAAGATTTTATAGCAGCAACATAGGTAATAAAAATAAAGGAAAAGATTTTTCATGGCAGTGTGTTGGTTAAGATATTATTTTTATTTGAAACTTCCATTATCGATGAACACAAGGTATAATAAAAGTATTGTCTGAGTTTATCAAGATACCTGATAGAATGTGAACCATGTATAATGTAGAATGCACTGGTCTGATAAGAAGAGAAAATTGAATTTAAGGACATTATCTGGATTCTTGTTAAACTTACCTCGCAGGAAACATGCATTTATCTTCCCGGTACATCTTGTGGTTGATGATTTGGTAATGAGTACCAAATTGTTTGGCATCTTCAAAATCTTTCTGTGTGATTCCACCTTTATTTTTCCATACCTCCATATCTTTCTCAAGAACACTGTAAATTGATGTAGAGTAATTAAAAATAAATTAATGATTGATTCTCTCTCTCTTGTAAATAATTAAAATTATTATTATAATATATTTTTCATACAAAATATTAAACCAAAACAACAGGATAGCATCTCAATTTAACTGATTACCAGCAACGTACAATGACTTCTATTCCAGAAAAAAGGTTTCGGAATAAATTTTCCACCCATTAAATTTGGGTACATGTAATTTTGTAGCAGATTTTGCGAATTTATATAATGAAAAAAAAAATTCCTGCCAAGTGTTTGTTATTCTCTTGAATAGTGCCTCTCTTTTATAATTTATTTATTTATTACCATTTTTAAAGAAGGTGACCTATCCACCTGCAGGAACTGATCATTAAGGGCCCTTGTTAAAACATAAAATAAAACAAGTAAAATATTAAATATTCAAAAGAAAGATAAAGTTAAAAGGTTTACAATATTAACAATACATTATAACTTGTTAAAATCTGACAAAAAAATATACAAATTTATCTATTAATAAATTGCTTAATTCTTTGAAGTCGCGGTCCGTATAATATACGGACTAATTTACTGTCGCAGAAAGCCCGCTCCGAATTATATACGCACTGAATTTTAGTGCTGCTGGTCTCTATTTAATGAGTAATTTAGGGGAATTCCTTATTGTTGCAGCAACTGGATGTGCAGAAGCATTCAAAATGGCTAAATCGGAAGCAATCATTCAACGTCAGTGATGCACTTACCCTTATTTTAGCGGATGATGACAGTGGGGCTTAATGAAATGAATGACTTCAAAGAGTTAAGTTTAAAAGAGTATAAATTTTGAGATATGCCAATATCTTTGTGAATTATGTGGAAATGAGGTGCTTCATAACTAAAACACTGCTTAAAAATTACTAAACTACAGTAGGTCGAGGAATAAATTAATTACAATTAGAAATGGATCTTGTAGTTGGTCAAGCTCCAGGCTGAGTCCTGGTTAACATACAACTTATGTAATCGGCAACGGTTCCGATGGGTGAGACAGCCTAGTTGAAAATTATATCGTTGAGAAACAGATGAGATGGGAAGGGTGCTATCAAATATTTCTATTAGATTAAGGCCACATTGAATCTTCAAATAAAATGTTATATCATGGTACATAGTTGATATATGTATGATATAATCACAATAAAAAAAAAAAAAGAAAAAGCAGACAAATAAAAAACCTACAACATAAACATATTAAGCCTATAGTAGGGCAAATTAAAACCTGCCCAGGTAAAAATATTGTCTTGGAAACGAAAGTCCTTACTCAATGTGGCAGGTGCAATCATCTTGATTGCAAGGCTTGTAATTATCCACCGCAGTCTTGATGGCATCTAAATAAGGCTTCCATTGAGCAGCTGAATGGAATAGAATATAAGTATAATAGTGATTCAGTTTTTAGCCACGAAAGTCTTGAAAAATTAGCATAGAAGTGAAAAATTCTCATTGGTTGAACAAAATATGCCAACCCTATATTCACTATCACTATATTTTTTGAAATGCTGTTTGACAAATGCATTGGTGACAATCACATACTTAGGCTTTGGCTAAAATTCTCAAATGCTGCTTTGCCTGTTTTTTTCTTTTTTATAGTTTTGGCCCACTGTATGTATGCATGGTATCACACATGCCTTTATGGTGTTCTTCCTATTAAACAACACCTCCCGTTAAGCGTTGTCTCAAGGTTTGGGATCAAGCAAATCTCTCGGATATGCCGCCCCATTGCCTAGAAATGTATTTGGTGTTGTGACCTTATCAAACCCACTCATTGTGTTCATTTCCAAATGTTGCCTTGTTTGTAAAATATATAGTTAAAAGTCAAGATTTTCATTACTACATAGGCATCACTCTGTACTATACAAAATAAACTGTACTACTAGACTACATATGAAATGTACTTTAGTACTCCACCCTAACACTAACATCAACAACATTAAAATAGCAATACTAATACTGGAGTTAAGGTTAAAAGTTAGGTTTAGGGTTAGGATGGAGTAATACTAGGCCTACCTAGAGTACATTAGCGCCGCCAAGTTCCCTATTATTACATTAATGATCTCATGCATGTAAAGTATACGCTTAACCACTGTCTATGCTATGTCCAGGGAGGTATAAAAATAAGGTAGGCCTATGTCAGCCCCGGCAGCCTAGCCCCGATTTCTTTATTTACCGATTGACAAGACACGAAGTCTGACGTGTCGTTTTTAGCTTAGTTAGGATGGCTTACCTAGCCTAGGTCTGAAATAAAACACAAGCCTAGAAAAATAATTATCGTAACTACCTTTACTATATTTATCATCTACTGTCTCATTTGCTTCACAATCTTCATCTCCGTCTTCACAAACCTCACAATTAACTTGTAAAAAAAATATTAAGAGTAAAATAAATGATAACTCCCGGCGTAACATGTTGTTCGAGCTGTGTGTCATCTGTCACGCCCTTTGACTTGACCTCTTAACATAAAATCTAAAGAGGCGTCCAATAACTTATAATATATTTTGCTGTAAAATAATATAAATATGTAACTTTGACAAGAATATAATCCTAATTAGATTTTTAAATCATTTTATTATCAAATAGTATTAATTTTTATAATAAGATTATAATAATGTTCAATATTCTTTTTTAAAGCGATGTTCATGGTTTTCTTTAGTTATTTAGGTTCCATGTTTTGTTTTTCTCTTTGCACGTGTGTTTGTTTTGATATTTTGGGTTTTAAAGAAAGTTTTATTCTTGAATAATTATCATAAATGTATAGTACGTTTACTTAGATATATATGCAGTGAATTCAAGAGTAACATGTGAAGGTACGTTGTATAGCTTTTTAATGCCCCTTGGTCTGATTTTTATATGTTTTTTTCTTGAGAGACTACTAACCAAACAAACAACGAAGGTGTGTGAATTCATGGTGCTTGCGTTGGACGGGTAACTCTGGTATGGCCTGCACGGAGAATATATTCCGGTGTCCCGCACAATAATTTTAGGCCTAGAATTCCGTGCGTGCATTTCGAAAATATGGGCCAGTGTCAGCGTAAATTTTGCAGAAGAATTGGGCTTTGGCTTATGTCTCAGTATACAAGTATTTTAATTATAATTATGTATAAATATTCACGATTCTGTGCACCTTTTTTTCAACCATGCGAATTTCCGCGCCAGTTTTGAGTTCCTTTTGATGTGGTGCGGTAGGGTTGCATTGGATTTTCAATTTAAAGTCAGGTAGGATTGTTCTATTAATTTATAATCAGTTTTCAAAAGGTACACCAATGGCAATGCTATTTTTCATTGAAAGTGATGATTTAACACAAGAATAATCATGATTAAAAAGTAGTACACATTTGGGCAAAAGTGCTGTTTTCCCAGCGATGCCCATACAAATTATTATTCCAAGTCTTCTGCACCTGCCAACTCTCACACATAATGTGCGGGTCCCACCCACAAACATCCACTTTTTACTGTACATCTAACGCCTATGTTGTATTATATACGCATCATAAACATTTTATGAAAGATAAAATGTGTCATAGGCTAATCATATATCCTAAAATTCATAAAAATATAGTGAATTTGTTATTAAAATGTGAACACAGACCATTAAAATTTTTTTAACGAAGCTATACCGACTGATGACTGTAATCAGTAGTAGCAGTTCCACGACTACAATTTCAAAGTAAATTATATAGAGGGTGCTCTAATTTGTGATTTTTACATACAGGGCGCTACATAAATTCTTTTTTGCCTGGTGCAATAGACTCCAACAAAGCTGGCAGGTATAAATAAGTGCTCCAAAACGTTAAAAGAACATCAATGGCATTGATTGTAGGCAAAAGTAAACCGCCTTTACTTTTCTTGGTATTTTCACTCGGATTATTTTTGACCATATATTATTACTGTACCCCTGGTATCTTTTTGTATCCTGCAACTTACCATTTCTATAAAGTTACAGTAAATACCATGATGCTGATGTGTGTGGTACCTGTCACTCCTGTGACATTTTGTAAATCTTCTATGAATCTAAAACACATTGGTGAACTTTATTTAAATATTTAATACAATTAGGTTCTTTCATTTGACTCTCATTGTTTTGATATGCTTATGATTGTGTACGATTAATTAATGAGTAATACGCTATTTTTTTGAATTTTTTAGTGGGTCTAATGCTATGTTCACACACACGGCGTAAGACTTGCTTGGCTTACGCCAGGTGTAAGCTAATCCACGGATTAAAATTCCAAAGTGTTCACACAAACGGCGTTCGTTAAACTAGCAGTAATATAGGCCTATGTGGAATAGTTTTCAGTTTTAAATAATGTACATGTTAACAGTAGTAAAATTAACAGTGCATCATGAAAACTTTTAAATCTGTGAATTGTTCGAAGTGAACTTATATGATTATTGTATTTTAAATGAACAATTTTACTTTTGATTTTTCAGCTAGCATTGTTGATGTTGCATGTTTTAATAGACAGTCTAAATGGTTAAAATATCTTACAAAACACAATCAATAAATCATATACATTATAACTAAGTAAAATGCAATAGAAAAGGAACCCCTTTACCATTTCATTATAGAGAGCACAGAAAAGAGACCAAAGTAGCTAATATATTGCAATCGTGATTGGTCAATCTCTTGAAATGAGGTCAAATCATTCAAGCATCACTGGCGTTAGCTCATCTGGGGTCTGCAGGTATAACGTTAATAACGCCAAGGACGTGGCGTAGTGAGTGGCTTTAACAACGCCACTGCCTAGTTCACGCACAAAGGCATACGCTACGCCAGGCTTAAGCCAGCCTTACGCCGTGTGTGGGAACATAGCCTGTGTTTTCGATGTCCTGTTTTCGCATACCAGGTCTCTGTTTTTGTATGCCCAGGACTCTGTTGTTGAATATAGAATACAAATACTGAAACCCACAGGCATATGGAAACAGATCTGTGGATAATATAACAGAGACATAAATAGAAAAGTAATGTAGAAAAAGAAGAGTTTTTAATACAGTAGGAGTTTGGTGAGACTACAGAATAATAATCATCATCCGCTATGTCAGTCCACTGCAGGACAAAAGCCTTAGCATGTTGACGCCAAATCATTCTCTCTTTTGCTGTGTTGCACCAATTCTCTCAGATTCCCGCAATGCTTGTCGATGTCATCTCTCGATCTACAAAACAATACAGAAAAGTGCAGAAAAAATACATTACATTTTTTTGTAGTTTTTACAGATAAAATAATAGGTTGCATTTTTAGAGTAGGGTTGAATGTACAAGAAAATACTCATGAGAATGACCTGTGAGATAGCTTAGGTCTATATGGATAAGCTCTAAAATTTACTTTGGAGAAGGGTATTGTGATAGGAAACCCATGAAATTACTTTAATCTGGGCAGTGGAGATGGGTGCTGAGGTGATGTGTAGAGTAGTATGTTGCCATGGTGTTTTATCACATGAACTGGTAAAATGTGTTCATTTATAAATGTTGTTGTTAGTGTAGACCATTATAATGTAGGGAGTTATTATCATTGGATGATGGTGGTGAAGATGATAACAGTAGGTAGTGATTTTGGTGATGGCAGTATTCCATGTTAATTGTGGAGTGTGTTGTTTTGGTGGTTATAAAATTTATTTCGAATCATTATGTACTGGAATTAGACAAAATTTGAGTGCATCCTTAGTTTCATAATTGTACATGTGATAGTGCATTGAACCTTTTACAAGTGATTGACATATAACCTTTTCAAAGTCATTCCTTTGTTTAGATAACTGATAGATATTGTCTTTGAAACTTATGAAAGTCAGAAAAATAGCTTTGTCATTATCAGAGGTACTGGTAGTTGAACTTTATATTTCAGAAGACTCAATGTATTCTGAATAGAATATCTTAAATAGACAGTGAATGATTCATTAATTTATATAATTAAATTATTATATAATCTGTTAGTCATAGTATACTGTTTAGTAATATGTCCAAGGCTTCTGTATTTGACACTATTTTCCCAGCCCATTGGGTCAGATACTCATAAAACACATACTCATCTTCCAGAGTCAGTGTAGAGTGGAGTCATTACTTCTGTATTAATACCATTACCCAGGCAATTGGTTCAAATATAGAGTAGACAAAGTACTCAAACTCTAAGATGTATTCAATAAGTCTAATGTTGCAGCTAACTACCTAAAATATATTAAAGTAATAAGATAAAAAACGATAAATTTCTAGGGACACACACAATGGTGAACCTCAGATTCGAACCCTCAATCTTTTGATTATAAGCCTGCTACTTTATTGCTGCTCCATATATTTTCACATTACTGTTAGTTTTAAGCTTCTGTTGTTTTGTTTGTCTATTCTCATGGTAGTATACAGTATCACAGGTGGTTAAGATATATATGTGATTAATTATATTATCAATGTGTAATTTTTATTTTTATATGAAATTAGGTTTTGTTTGCAGGTTATATGATTTTGATATTCTTAATTGTTTATCATGAAAAAAGTACTATGCTTTGTTTATTGTTTGATCATAGACCTGTATGTTTGTTCAAAGAAAATTGATTTAGGTAATATTGAAATTTATTTTTTTTATTTAAAAAAATAATTATGCCTATTCAATGTTTTAAAATTTTATTTTATTGTGGTTGTGTTCTTAAAGAAACAATTTAAATCTACATTTTAAGAAGGTATTGTATGCTATTCAAATGGTAAATTAATTTTTTCATTGAACTTCAAAAATGAAAATAATTTCACAAATCTATATAGCACCCTCTATAGTTTGATTCCTCATAGATCATAAGCAAAGATATAATAATACAAGTTTCTAATAAAGGAGTATATCTGTAGTTCACCAGGCATAAGCCCTCCTCAAGTATAAGCCCACCCTCTATTTTACATCCTAATTCATGTACCAATGTTTTCTCGGGCATAAGCCCAGGGTATGATTTGAATAAGTAGCTTACTGTAGGGACTTTGTAACTACTTGCATTGAAAATATATGTTTGGTCATCCCTATAAATTTCGAGTTTTTAATGAATAGGGATTCTCTGGGTATAAGCCCAGTCTCTCCCCCCTCCTCCCACTTTCCAAACTTGGCCCAATTTCATGTTTGAGGGTGCTGGGCTTAAAACTGAGAGACTATGTGTATATATAGGAATCCTATTTAGGAGGTCATACAGTAAATATGTCATCCTCATTTTGTTATCTTGGTAATAATTGCAATATAGATAAATGAACCAGGTTTTGAGTGAGATTTTTATAAACTTTTAAAAGGATACTTTTATAATATTGATTTTATTGATCATAGAAATAGTTTAACTCTTAATCTTGGTCAGTTTTTAATATCATGTATAGTTTAAATTCCGGTTTTGTTATAAGAGCAAAAAATGTTAAATTTACCATCTGGTTAATTTATGATAATCAAATTTAAATTAAAACTTGATACACGTATATTATAGTGCAGGCTGTTGCACTACTGAATTCTTGCTGGTAATTGATTGAATAAATATTTTGCTATTAATATATTATTATTAAAAGCTGTTAATTTAATCTATTATAATTTGTGATAATTAATAACAATTTCCACTAATTTTAATTTTAAGATTTTGTTTGTATGCATATTTAATAAAGGCTGATTAGATAATACAAACCAAAGGAGGAACAAATTATACTGGTGTTTATACTGCATGAATTCAGAATTTTAGCTTGAACAATTCACGATATCTATTCAACCAGCCTGTGTTTACCAGTTCAAGTCATTTGTATGAGATGCTGGCAGCAATTTTTGTAAGGCATGTTGCCAGAGTCAAGTTGAACCTGCGTGTGGCGTGTAACGCCCACACAATGTCAAGATTACACACATGATGATTCTAGTGCTAAATGACATTAGAGCATAGCATGATTTTCATATTGCTTGTTGAAATGTTATATGTTCTTGGCTAATACTTGTAATATAATCTTTTAATGAAATACTGTATTATATTCTGGTGCTGATGCATTCAGCGAACACGACGGATGATTTTATGACATGAACAGAGCCATGATCAATAATGAGAAATTTAATGTCGTACATAAAAATGTTTCTGATAAAGTACACACACACACCCACACACACACATACACACACACACCCACACACACACACACACACACCCACTGGAAATAATTATTTTTTTCTTTTTAAAATTCACATCTGCAGCAGTTCTCCCACCATCTCCACCCCTCCTTTCTCTTAGTTCAAATGTTAAAGTCGGGCTCCAGAGGAAAAATTAACAAAAAAATTGAAAATGGTTTAATGAGGTATAGATTTTTTAATATTTAAAAACTAAGGGAAAAGGGGTGATTACGTCCCTTTTTAAAGAATCCATTGCATCTTTTGGAAGAGTAGGGGATTACCCCGATGCTACGGTTCATTTTGACCCCTGTCATTGTGGAATGATGTGAACATTTAGGCACCTCTACGGTGGATATGTAGTCACGGACCACGCCCATATACAATTCAGCACAATGATGCTGCGAGTTATGAGTTATTCTTCTACCTTTTACCTTTGCATTCTAGAAATAATAGTAAAAACATTGTGTTGTGATTAAAATTATACTACTTGCTTGAAAAGTCAATCTTGAACAAATCCGAGAATAATGTTTTTAACAGATGACAGGAGAAAGAATTAGGTAAACATTTAGTGAGGCGAGACTTTTTTTATAACTTGTTTCGCAAACCACCTGCCCGCCAATATTGATGATTTCAAATAAAAATAAAATTTTTGTATGCCTTCCATTGCCTTGAAATCTCCAAAAATAAGAAATGTATATTTCTTCGGAATTATATAAGTTTAAAGCATTTAACCATCCAATTACTACACTGTGAGACTTCTAGAATTATGAGAGATTTTCTGTCCTTTCCTTGAATCCAGATGATTAAATCAATTTTAGTAAAACTCCTGCAGCTTGCCAAAGACTTGAAATGCCTGTATGCACTCTCAATAGCTTCTGCCTATCATGCTATTCATGAACACTTGTTAGTATTAGGTTTTGTAAATATACATAAATCATTCACTGTGTACAGTAATGATAATTTCATATTAGCCCACAAACAACTGTTATCATATGTTATAATTGTACCATGAAGTTGTACATCAACATTATATTATTTTGGTTATTATTTCAAGGCCTCGATGCACATCACGTTATTACCCCGACTACGGAACTCATCTCCTCGCGGAGGAAGTAAATTCCGTAATGCATCAGCTAGTAGTCAGTTGGCCTTCAAATTTACCACTTTTTCCTCCAGGATGGAAAGGTTCACAGAGCTGGCTTTATGGTATTTCGGTGATAAGTCCAAGGCCTATGTGTACTTCAGATTATTATCCCGGTCATTGGATCAAACACCTTTGAAACGCAGTACCCCAAGGGAGTATTTCATAATGTTTTAGCTTGTAATCAGTGCATGGGTATTCAAGCCTACCACATTTATGTCTGCATGGAACGAGGCAACTTATAAAGTGCGTTGCCCAAGGACATTATAAAAGTAGCCAGCCTAGAATTCAGACCCCTTTAAATTTTAAGGACCATTTTCCCTACATAATGAAATTTTAAATTAAAATAATCAAGTTTATGAATGATTTTAAAGTAAAATACTATTATTTTACACAAAAAATGGCTTTAATATGTAGAGAAATAATTTGAAAAAAATAAAGGGGAAAAATCAAATCAACCCAGTTCTGTCTTGTTTTTCTTTGATATGTCAGTAGTCCATAATTGCATATGGCATGTGCATAATGTCAGAGTGTAACACACTGTCTTACCAGTGGAAAAGGAAAACATAAATTAAAGAAATAATCAGTCACAATACAGTCAGGTTTACTTTTATTTTTCCTACGATTTAGGAAGCGTTTCATCCGTTTCCTATCAGCTTATCCCCTAGAGCAACGTTGAGTGCGACGACAATATGCATAGTTTTTTTTTTGCACTAGGGCATGTTAGGATATCTCTTTGGACAGATTAATGATGGAATATTGATCCCGCGAGATGTTCTGACCTTTCCATCACCTTAACGTGTATTAGTACTCAAGTCTTGCGTTTGTAATTAGTTTGCGTATACAAGCGTATGCTGTATTGTGAATAAAAACTGCAGCACATTATGCTAAATGTTCTACGTTGTCATTTTCTAATACATTTTATGCAATATTTTTTATGCAGAATATTGAGTGTACATTATTATTGATTTAGTATTTAAATGTAAAATAAATACGGAACTTCAGGTTGAAAGTACTTCAGTTTTTTATTAGTGTGTTTTTTTAAATACATTGGAGTATTTTATTTTTTTCAAATTCTGTTGACATTTCAAGGATTGAACATGAGTTATTGAAAAAGAATGTTTAAAACTGTTATGGTATTTCTATTACATGAGGCTGAGACAATATAATAGTAACCATATAACGATTTATATTGTAGTTGTCTCAGTATGATGTATGTTCTGTTGCTACTTGGCACTTCAGGATACCAAAACACCTCAGAGGTTATCTCCGGGTGTACAGAAAACAAGCATTTTGCAGAGACATGCCCCAGATCCCTTAGGCCCCCCTTTGGGATGCCCTTTATATCTGGATCCGCTCCTGCCTTGTATAATATATAGGTCTGCGCATAAAAAGGAACGCTACATTTTTTCAGGAAAGAGTAGTGGATTTTCTGATGGTATACTGACCAATTCACTTTCTGAATACAAGAAATATAATATGTTACGTTAGTTGGCGGATAACTACTTGGCCTGTCTAGCGAAGTTGAGCATTAATTTTAAGAGTTTGACTTCAATATTGATGGACTTTCCTCTGTCTGCAGTTACTTAATATTAGGGAGCTTTCAATTGCACAACGACGGTAGGACGTAGAACGTAATGACATCACTAAAAGTCATCTGCGCATGCGAGAACGTTAAGGTCACCTCGTTGAGTAGATTCTGGAACACAATATGGCTAAATCTACGTATGCAGATAACGTAGGACGCCAGATAGGATGGTTACGCATGAGTGATTCCGTTCTAGCGTCGCGTCGCGTCGGACAAATCGAAAGCTCCCTATTCTGTCAGCATGTCTGCGTGATGGATCGAAGGGCACATTGATGATTGCGTGATGAATTGAAGGACACGCTGGTGGAACTGATATCGTTTGTTTTTATGGTGATTATAAAGCATCCAGAATTCACTATCTTCCATGAACAAGTGAAGAGCATGGTGATAACTTGAATTTGGTTCTTGTAAGAAATAGATTAGCCTAAACTACAGTGGTGAATTCAGGGGGATGGGGCAGCCAGAACCTACAATCGCCCTTCCCCATCCCTCTAAATTTTCTAAATTATAAAAGAATTAAGGAGAAAAAAAAATCATCTGGAGGTCTCATGATCATAAAATTTCTTACCTGAGCCCCAACCATGCTGGGGCTGAGGTGGTCTACAGTAGATCCTATAACTGTGAGGTCCCTTATGTTTTGAAATCCTGAATCTGCCACTGATCTATGGAGTATAGAATTAAAAATTTTATACTATACCCTAGAAGCATAACCTCACCATGTTGTCATTTACTTTGTGTATGTTATTTGTGATATGAAATTAAAGTATTAAAATCTAGGAGTTCCTTTAAAAATGGATGATATTGATGGTGTATCTAGGATGCTGGTTAATGTATGTTTGTAAGAATAATAATTATGTTTATGGTTTAAACACTTTAAATGCTTTGAAATTATATTTCTATTCAAATCAATTTTCCAATTTCTAGTCTACACTCCAGATTTCTTTTCACGTTGCATTGCAGCTCTTAGAAAAACATGATGAAGGATGCTCATAGGATCCTATTAACAAGACATGACATAAACATGATTGAACATATCTTGGCAATGAGTAAAAAAAAAAGCATTTTGTTAGTCGTTAACCTACTAGTACTCTCATTCATTAAACTAAACTCCAAAATCTGATCAGTGACCATTAGAAAATGACCTACAAACATAGTTTGCTAAGCCTAGAGGCAACTGCTCTAGTTTCACCCATGATCCGTCGGTTCCTGCTAGGCTAATACACTGACGTCATCTCCAGCCCGTTATATGAACATATGCTCTTGCTTTCAGCGCTCCACGAACTGTATAGTGTCAAAGTGAAGTACTCCGTGTCTCAGTCTTCTCCACATCCAATTAGACACGTACGAAACTTTCAATTTCACTTTTTTTTTCACCATGACAAACCTGTAACTTGTGTTTCCCTTGTTTGAATTTGAAACATAATTGTTTAAATTCTCACACATGCCCCAGGTCAGTTTATACAACTGTGTGTTTTGATAAGGAGGAAATGGTTAAGTTCTACATTAGACTTAAGCACACTATGACATTATAAAAACCATTAACTTATTAAACGTGCATAATCTGTTCCCTAATTTACAGTCTTACGTAATTTGTTTTTCCTAACCAAATTTTCAAAATATTTGTTTCTGTAAACTTCATTTCATATATTTAATTTTACATTAATTCTTTCATTGCTTCCAACATTATTAATGTCACAAACTTTCCATATATGGTTATGCCCCACCCACTTAGGTTAGTGTGAACTGATTGGTAAATAGTTTTATGATTGACACTTTGACTTGAGCTGACTGCAGCTACTGTATCTTTTGCAGTCCGGATGCTTTGAAATGAGTTTAAGGTTGACAAGTAAAACATAACATGAACCAATATACTCAGTGTGGTGAACATAAAAACGAAACACGCCTCAGGGTCACAAATTGCGAGCTCAACTGCTACAGAAATCATCTTATGCTATGTGTCTACATTATCTGAAAAGGTTTGTAGATTTGTATTGTCAACATAGTGTCTAATTAGTTCAAAAAATGTAATTAAATTTATACAAAGCTGAAGCAATCAATCAATCTAGATCATGACTAATTGATGTAACCTTTATAATGATGACTTAATACTAAAAAATCAGTGAGTAATGAGGTTAACATAGTACTTTACAGATTAAAAAAACCACAACCTTTGGTTGAAACACCTGTGATAGGATATTAAACTCAATTTTAAGGAAAGAAAAACAAGAGAGGGTGGGGTAACATCAAGTACGAACATGTCATAAATGGAAAAATAAGCATTGTTATTTATAAATTAGCGAATGATGTTTTAGTGTGTCACTGAGAATGCTATCACTTTAAAGAAAGAATAAATAAATAAATTTAAAACGCTAATTAGTTGATGTACAAGCTTTCGTTCACATAGTGAACCTCTTCAGGTGATACACAAACAGGATATAGTTGAGCTCTTAAAAAGGATGTACATTAAATACTGAAGTTTGAATAGGAAAACAAGCATCATTTAAAATACAATAAAATAGTAGGATATGAAGGGAGCATGCAATGCTGGATAGAGTTAGAGATGGGTTGGAACTCTATAAAACAAATGAAAAAAAATCAAAGGGCAATAATATAGTAAGATGAGTGCATCTATACCAAGAGTACAGGTACATAGCTAAGTCATGGTTTTATTTATTACACTTGAGCAGCTAGCTAGCTTAGTCGGCTAAACTGGTGGTAGCCACTATGTGTGTGCTAAACCATGGATAACGCTTGGTCCCCGGTTCAATTCCCATCGCTGCTCAGTGGTGGCGCCAGCGGGGGGACAGCAGTGGCTTAAGTCCCCACCGGACAGGTCAAGTCCCTCCCCCCTTGGACAGAGCTCGTCGGGCAGTTGGACTAAAAAATATATAAAAATAGGCCCACGCCTAGCCAACACATCTGTCACAATAAGAAAGTGTCATTTCTGCCCATCAAGAGGTTCATTCTTAAAAAAACCTCATTTGGGAGGGGGAACACTTTTTCAAACACTTCTCCAGCTCAGGCCTACGAGCTCAAGTCCCCCTGTCGGACAGCTCAGCCCCCCCAGAAAATATATTCTAGAGCCGCCACGGACGCTGCTCTCTCTGTGTTTCAGCTGAGAGGCTGAAATGCGAATGAGACGTTTAAGTGCAAAATGGCCCATGAGCACATGAAAAGTGTAGGGGATTGTTTTCTGATGTGCTGCCCAAGTCACCACCCAAATGATCCAACTAGAAATTTGTGGGTTGTCCTTGGTGGGTATCACACCAAAGAAGTCCAGTCCAGTCCTATCCAAATATAATATCCTGTTACTTACACACATAATAAAAACATGAAAAAACTTACCTAATATTGAAAATCCAATGTAAATTTAGTTCTGAATTTATATTTAAAAGGCACTGTAAATATCAGTGTCATAAAATTAAGTTAGCACGACACTTCGGCTGAAAAGGCTATGGATAATATTTCCTTGCATTCGCTGCAATCGGTGTATTGGCGGATCGGGTAGCATTGCTCAGTAAACGAAAGAGTGTCACATAATGTGATATCAGTGACGCAGTTACTCTATGGGGATATAATCAAACATGAGAAAACACTAATGAATATAATCGTGAAATAAATACATGTAACACCCAGGACCAACACCAGAATGGTGCTATAGTATTTGGAATTACATGAAACTAAATTTGATACTGAAAGAAATTCCAGGAACGGAAACAATTTTACATTATTCAAGTTTACTCATTGTTTAAGTTCTATTAAGTGAATTTCATGATTCAGATAATGATGCATATTTCCTGACAATGAAATTTAATAAGCTGTAACTTGTTTAAATTTGATGATGTTTCTATAATTTTTGTCATTAATTTCAATGACTAACATGCACTTGACACAGATATGAAAAAGGTTGAATAATTGGCGGTATCATTGTAATCTTACAATGCTGTGTGCTTTCTTTTGTTTTTGTTTTTGGGTCAGACATCCAATCCAGCACCTCTAGTCATTTCCTAGTCTTCCCCTATGTTGTCGCACTAGTGTATACAGTAGTATCTTAGAAGTTTCATTATTAACATTAAAGCACAAAAATGTAAACTTAACAAGATTTGACACCAGCAAGTAATATGTAAAGCTGTTCATTTGCTAACTCAAGCTCCATGTTATTTCATTTTGAATTATTTATGTATTTATATAATTAATTTTATTCACTACCAATGATTTATATTAATATGAAAACAAATTGCTAAATAAATGATAAAAAGTATCCTGGAGTCATCTGTTATGAGAAGTGTGTTCTAGACACAGGATTCGGGTTGCCAAAACATTTTTGAGGGTTGCCAGACTGCTCCTGATTTCAAAAAGAGAGACTTTGGTAAAGCACATTTTGAAATATAAGTGGAAAAAACTACTACATAGCCATCCTACTCCGATGTATGAAGACGAGAGCTCGAATTTCATTATCAACCAAAAACCTAGAATCTTCTTTCATGGTTGCATTGTCACCTATCTATCCAAGGATTGATAAGATCATTAAAATTAGGAAGTAGTATATAGCTCACATTAACGTACTAGTTAAAAATTAAATGTTACATCATGTTTAAAATGATGAGTTGCTTCTTTTCTTTTTGAGTTGCTTTTAGTCATTTTGTGAGGGTTGGGAACATACAAACTTCATTTTTCAATTATTATTTACCCAGTCAACCTTGTCGAAGTCGAAAGTGCATAAGTCGAAAATTTGTTATTGTTTTACATTAAACATTTCATAATTACGAGAGTAGTGAGTGTAGTGTGTATTCTCCATACTATAAAATGGAAAATTCCTCACATGATCGATGGTGACAAATGCCTCATGTACTTTGCTGAGTAAATAATAATCAAAACAATTTATCACAGCCACTTTGTATTCAAATTTAGCCGAGGTTGACTGTAGAACTACAACAGCACATGTCTATTTTGATAGTGCCTTTGCAAAAGAATAGGGAGTTTGAAAGTGGGTTGCCACCTGTTTCTACTGGAAAGAAAAATCGTTTAAAAATTAAAAATTTTTTTCTCACAGTAGAAAAGGGACCAGATTGAAAAAAGCAATTAAAAAAATTTTAATTAACCGATTAACCGAAAGGTCCACTGATTAATCTCAGATAAGAAAGTATAATACATACTCCAAGTATTTAATACACTGTTTGACATACATTTTTGCATTTAAAAGATCTGACCTTATTGATTTAAGTTTTCGACACATAATTTAAAAAATTTACAAAGAGAACAATTAAATTTATTAAAAACACGGAAATTGGATAGCGTGTTTGAACAGCAAATAATCGATTTTGGCTGTGCACCTTTTAGCTGCAACACAAAATAAGCGATTTATCAGGTGAAATGTGACCTCCAGGTCAAACCAATGCAAAGTACTTTCAAAATAATGATTAGTTCTCTTGTTCATGTCCTAGGCCTACAAGCTAAAACCTTGGGCCTACCATTGTCCTTGTTTGGTCACTCGTTCGTTGGTGCCGATGAGCACAGCCGAAAACATTTACCTTCTCACCGCACACCGTATCTTACTCCTCGTCATCATGACAGGAATGAGAAAGATACTACTGTATACAGTTTGGAAAAGGTGTTGTATAAACAAAATGATGACATAATTTCCGTCATGAAAACCAATTTTCGTAAATCAAATAATGCAGTTGCAACATAGGCAGGCTGTCTGGCACTCATTAAAAAAGCGGTTTAAACAAATTTATCATCTTGTGTTTATCAGTAGAAATGCGCCCATAAAAAACGTTGAGAAGCAGGGTGTAGGAATGTGTGTTTATATGTCTATTGTAAATACACACCCACATTATTATATAGTTAAAAAGCCCAAGGTCTAACATCACTCTCTTTACATACAAAATATTGATTGCAGTGCCACCGAGAGGAGGAGCATCAAATGCGTAGTAATCAAAAAAGGTCAGATCTTGAGCCACTGAAAACAGCATTGTAAAAAAAAAGAACATTTTTTAAATTATTTATCAAAAACTGAATTAATAAGATCAGATCTTTTAAATGCAGAAATGTATGTCAAACAGTGTATTAAAAGTAACAAAAAAACTTTGTATTAAATACAAAAAAAACCATAAAACTCTGTATTATATACAAAAAAAACCATAAAAAAATATTTGAAAAAGAAATCAGGTTATGTAAATATGCTGGTCTGTGAAAGTGTACCATCAAATTGAATTTGAAAGCAAACACTTGAAAATGGTATTATGCAAAGCAACAAAAATTACATAAAATATCTGAAGGATGACGGATGGGAGATCACTAAAAATCCCAGACAGCTGTAAAAAAAAACTAATAAACCGACAATGATGGATATATGACAGATTTTTGTGTTATTCTTAGCTCTCTCATAATATTTAACTGCTATATTATATAAATTAAAAAAAGAAAGTCATCATAAGGACAAGCTTAAGACAAGTGGTTTTACTGTGTGTTTTTAAAAAATTATTTGAATTCCCTCTATAATAAATAATAGGAGATACTTTTCTAACAACATCTGTTTGGGATTTTTTCTACTGTGAGGGGATTTTAATCTGTTAATGTTTATTTAAAAATGGTCGCATAAAAACAGGGGCCAAAATTATGGTAGTGAAACAGGGTTTATTGAGCAGAAACATTCTGTAGCATTTGAAATGCTTAAAAATTTTGTTATTTGGTGTTATTCAGTAAAAACACGCCCTTCTGTAAGTTATGATTCTAGCACAGTACACTTTTAGATGTTGACTATCCAGATTTACATTTTCAAAGAATTAAGACCCTGTCGGGGAAGAAGCCAGTGATTTTGTCAGGAAACACTTTTTAAAAAGCAATTTTACAGTCTAAGGGCCTGTTTCTGCTGAGCAAAAACACACATGTTTTTAGGCGGTTATTTAAAAACATGTTTTTTTCCCAGTAGAAACGGGCCACAAAACAAAAACACGGTTAGGAATGCGTTCTAAACATGGGTGTTTTTACACGCATTCCTTATAGGGTTGGCGTTCAGAAAACATGTGTTTTGTGGTACGCAATACCGTGTTAGTTGTGACACATCGATGACCCAAATTGACCTCTTCGTTGGTTTGATCGCTCGTCCGCGGGAAATTCGGGGCGAAGAAAAAATTAAACTAACAGGATGACATGCTTGAGGCGGCTTTACCATAATTTCATACTTTCGCGGTGTGTTGTTTACTTCTTTTGCAGCATGCGCAGTAGCTCAGTAAGGTCAACTTCAACCTTCGTTGGCGATCGTCATTATAAGCTCCGCCCACCTGTCAATGCTCGCATTACCGTGCTTTTATTAGTTGCAATTTTCACTAGAAACACATTCCGAAGAAATTTAACCTTTTTAAAAATAACACGTTTTTGGCATCATTCAGCAGAAACACGCCATGAGAGTGATCCACCCATGGTGGGGCTGATGCTGGTGTCAACAGGGCACTTGGACTTCTTCCCCCTGTTAAGTAGTCTCTGCCACTACCACTGCCCCATCAAAAAGATTTGCAAAAAACAAGCTCTGGTTCTCACACTGATAATTTTCCCTAATCTATCGGGGGCGGATCCAGAGATGCCCAAAAGGGGGGCCGAAATTTGGGCCGATTGAGACAACAATGTCCTAGGGGGTCCGGGTCCGCAAAATTTTTGTGTCCTAGACGCCCGAAAATAACATTTGAGGCCTTGTGGGCTATCATTTTTTTTTTCTTTTTTTACCTCCCAAATCCGCCCCTGTCTATATTTCGTTTTTGGTTGGGGATACATATGGAATGACTCATGTCTAGTACATCTTTTATTCGCTTTCAATGTGTCTACTTGGTAAAAATGAGAATGTAGTAGATGTTTCTCTTTTAACTATTTTGGATTTGACATCTCTTAATAAAAATAAAAAAAACTGCCCTTATTCTCCTTTAGGACTAGAAACTACTTTTTTTTTTACATGGCCTAAATGGGTACCTGGTTGAAATATACTGGGGAAGAAATGGCCACCCTACCACACAGTGCCAAGGCTTAGTGACAATAGTGATGGGCTCACAGCTCATTCCCGACGCTCAGCAATTAATACGGGACTTATACCTTTACCTTTTTACATTGTGTATCTTTTTATTGCATGATTGTATGTTTTCATATTTAAAATGTATTTTGAATTAAAAAAGAATTCATAATCGATTGACATATTATATTATAAAGCTGAATTATGTAACAAAATTTTTTTAAATTATCTGACAAAAGTTATGGTAATCATGTAAATATGCTGGTCTCTGAAGCTACCATCAAATTTTAATTTAAACTAAAAAAAACAGTATTATGTAAAATATTTAAAAACTCCCAATTTGCATAAAAAAAAGCTTTGCCATTGATTTAAGAAACTAAAATGAATAAAAAAAAGAAAAATTTACTTGAGAATTCAAAAATAAACAGAAGGAACTATAGTAGGCTAAAGATAAAAATTCAGTACGATTGAAGTAAAATTTGAAAATGTACAATACTAAATCAGTACTAATAAATGTGTATTGTAAAACTGTAATCGCACAGGACTTATTTCAGAAAAACTAGCCGACATGCCGGT